CCCCGTTCGTATCCGTCGAGGGCTGCTGCCGCTTTCCCTTGGCTGTCAGGTGTCCGTAGGTCCCAGGTGCTCAGCCCTGCTTCCTGGGATGCCCGCAGCCACGCAACGCCGCACTGCACCAAACCCTGTCCCCGTGCCCGGAGTCAGCCCCGGTCTGGGGACCTCCTGGCTGGCACCCCGGTGTGTTTCTCCTGTGTTCCCCCGGTGTGTGCCTGTAGCTGTGTGCAGCGCATGGGGGAGCGTGGGCAGCAGCACCAGGGACCTTGCGAGCAGGGATGTGGAGTGGGGAAGAAAAAATGGTGCTCCCCAGCTTTAGGAGGCAGCAGACAATCACAGCGATTGAGGGTTGAACCTCTCTGCAGGCACCCCGTGCTCCCCAGTGCTTCAGCAGCTGGTGCCTGGGAATGGCAGAGCAGCTTTCAGAGAGGAAAACTTCCCATACCCAAAATAGCTGTGGGTGAGTGATTTCAGGTGGCTCAAACCCAGGGGGGCCTCTCCCAGCCTGGGCGTGCGCTCTCGGCTCACCTACTGCTCTCTCTGGGCTGCTCCGAGGATTTAGTCTGGCTTTCTGCTCCTTCCATCCCCAGAGCAAATGGCACGTTTTAATCCCAGCAGAGAGTCCCCCTTTTTATTCTCCTTTCAATGCCATCTCTGTTCAGGGCTGAGCTCCCACTGAGGGGTCGCTCTACCCCCTCCTGGAGTACTTGCTTTCAGGTGGACCGTCTCAAGTAGCTTTAAGTGCATTGTGGTTTCCTCTAGTTATTTTTGATATACATATAATGTACCTATATGTACCAAATAATAAAAGGCAGGTTGTTTGTACAAAAGCAAAAGCAAAGAGAAGCATGTTGCTTGTGAATTTGTATACGGTGGAAAGGGACTGCCATCGGGGTGAGGATGGGAGTGGGATGGAGGGGCAGGTTGGCTGCCGGAGTGCCCCTGTGCCCCCCGGCACCGGGCTCTGCTCCCCGTTTTCCAGCCTGCTGCCTTTGCAGTGGCTCCGGCTGGCTTGGCGTGTGGTTAAGCTCATCCAGCTGTCGGCAGGGCTTTTTTTAGCACAGTCGGCTTTGCACCTCACCGCTGTACAGAGGGCTCTGCTAAGCTGCTGCCCTGGATGCTGCTGGTTTGGAGAGGCCAGAGTGTCCCCCCGGCTCTGCCCACGCTCCCA